CTTCATTCTACTGCTATCTAGATGCTATAACCCCTTCATGATGAGTGTTTTACTAAAAGGCATGGCCGCCATGTAGGCGTGGTTTCCCATGCGGAAACATGACAATCCTCAGCAGCTATAGCAAAACACTCCCCCCCCCCCCTCACCCTCATAAAAAAGCATAAATAAAAACAATCGATCGCATGCGCGATACAAATATGCTGCCTATGGAAAGTCCAGGGGTGAGACTATGAGGTGCCTTTGTACACCTAGATACGTCGTCTCATTATTAGACTAGATTTTTCTTTCCGCGAAACTTGGGTACTCATTTTAAAAACACCTTGTTGAATGCATCAGAAAATCTTCTTATGTCTAAACAGCATCGTTACGGACGTTATTATATCTTGTTATTCATGGAATTATCCTCTTTTTAGTTCAGTTCCTGTTTTAAATGGGATCGGAAGGGTTTAAGAGTCAAGAGAAGAGTTAAGGGGTGTTAAGATATTCCTTTTACGAAAACTAACAAAGCATGTATGTGGGATTGGTACATGCAATAAAGAGTTAGAGGGAGAAGAGCAGTGGAAAATAGGGAATGCACGAAAATTCATTTACATGTTGGAGCTAATACTGTATAAGACACGGAATCGTACAGTCCGATTGGCTGAAGCACCTGAAGCTGGCTACTTCTATATTGGAAGGAAGGGGGAAGAGGTAAGGCTGGGAGTAGAGGTTTAGTTCACGGTAAACAACATTTTGTAGAGGTCTCAGAGTAGCAATGAAAACTATACAAAAACCGTCTACATACTACTTCACATATCAGTGTTGATCGTCTGAATCGAATTATTTATTACTCGCAGTACTAGTGCGAAACACAGCACGCAAGTCAAGTCAAATCATTTTTATAGAAGCAGAGCAGCTCTTAGTCCGTAAGAAACAAGTTTGGACGAAAGAATTGCGTAAAAATTATCGTTAAAATTATCAATATTTTGGCTTACAACCCTCACTGATGCAGTGTTGCATTGTACTATTGACAAACAATAGACGACAAAACAACTGCGTCCAATCACTTTTCGTTGGGCCCGACAGACTTTTGCAAGACTAAACGAAAGTTTAAATGATCGAAATAAACGGCTTACCTTGCCAAACGTGAATRAATTTAGTCGACAGCTTCGCGGAATACCGCGACAGTAATCTTACACAACCTATATTTCTTTCTTTGGCATATCATATTGCTGTATGGCATTCGTGGCTGTACATGTTCTTTTTATGAATAACGCCATCATCTGTTACGTCATTTTTAATAAGATGACCTTTAAATGTCTTCTTAGACAGCACGTCTTTTGAATTCTTAAAACAATCAAGTCGATTGCTCTCAGCTTAGAGGATTTATCGAATATTTGGTTTTAATAAGAAACTGAAACATAGGAGTTGTAACGAGAATGGACATGGCAAAGATCAGTGAGACTTCAAAAGCAACACGTTTTTTTAGAATGGGATGAATTGGATAAATTTGGACACTGATTATCAAAAATCCACAATCCCAGATAATGGTAACTGAAGCGTAACCTATAGCTACTAAAAGGAAGAAAGGCCTCTCAAAGACAGAAAGGGGCCTGATTCGCATAMGAACAAACCAATATAGATATGCACAAAGATCGCTACGTTAGAAAACGATCCGCCCAGTATGATAAGATGATAAGCATTTTCTTGGCTGGACCCATGGACGTTTTTTTTTTTCGTTATGTAGCTCCTGTCCCCCTTTTTGTTTGAGTTTGCGTGACTTCTGACCGCGACTCTAGGACTATTTTAAAAGCAGTACACGTAWTGCGGAAGAAAATGTTGCAAGCTGTCACGCGCGATATCGTTTCCTAGGTAACCAAATTATGCGAAGCAGGAAAATTATTGATGACCACAATTAATTCCAAGCAAAAATATACCCCAACTTTTCATATTATGTGTTTATGCGGGTGTTTGCATAGGATTGAATTAAGCCAGAAAAAATGAATTACTTTGGCAATTCCTACCAGTTCCCATTCTACCCTTTTACTAAGAAGCCTCATTTTTAGCAACTCTTGAACACTGTGGATATTTCTTAGAATAAACGTTACACTTGAAATAAACCGATATGGCCTCCGGGGTAAACGTTCTGTCACAAAGGCGCGAAAATTGTTCATTATGAAGACAGACCGGCTGCTTCAGGTAACTAATTTCCTGTTGGAAAATAAAAAACGTAGTATCTTTATCCCTTTTATTACTACGATTACGTATACACTGTGATGATCAGCTCAATGATGATCAAGGATTGAAAATTAAGGGTTGAAAAAAAATTGCTTCCTTTGCACTTACCAAATAATATCCTTTTGCTTTCAATTTGGTCCTATCCACATGCTGTGTAATATGTAATCATGAGCAAGTTATGTGCTAGTTTTTTTTWAAATCATTTTTTTGAAGTCTGGTGAGGTCCAGTTGACTGTGTTACTATTACAAACGGCTATACATGACGGAAGTTTCACTTTCCAATTCACACACCTGAGAAGAGCTATAACGGTTTGTACTTGTTAACTCTTGCTCTTGGGTTTACCAGAGAAAATGACTGTGTTTTTCTGATGATAGACACTTTGCCTGAAAACTATACAATTATATTCCCATTAAATCATTAAATCTAAAAATACCATAGGTTGAAGAGCAATATATTGTAATTACWGGATGTTTCTTAAAATCCAATTGAGATAATAAACCTAGTTCCCAGAGCCTATGCAGAGTTACCTTTGTCTTTTCGGTCAACGCCGGGAGAATTAGGAAGGAATACCGGAGCTGACCAGCAGAAACACAGTCTTCATGAAGGACATGTAGGTCGAGTATAATACAAAACGCATAACTACAATAAAATCTGTTAAAAATATACCTTTCCCAAATTCGCTTGAGTGACAATGGTTGCAAGTCGACGTTGTACTTGAATCATGATACGCTCAAACATTTATGAAAACCAATATCAACTCATTTGGAGGCACTGTTTTTCGGTTTTCACTGAATGGAAATTGGGAAAGGTTTATTAATGTCACCTGCACAGCTAGCCACAACACAGACACGACACAGCAATCATCACTGATGCTTGGGCTTCCTGTTTGTCTAGACCTTAACTGACCAAATCAACTAACCGTTCGAGTCTTTGTTAGTGTTCTTCTCTAYGAAAGCAGATCTTCTGGTTTGTCTGTGTTAAACCATCTAAAGTACATGTTATTTTCATACCTCTTCAGGTAAGAATAAAGCAAAATAGCTAAGGCTTAATTAACTCAGCTATTGACAGACCATAATCTTACCGAAGATCATGAATTCATTCACTACAGTATACTAAGTGTTATATACTTCCGCTTTCTAAACCTAACTTAAACTCAAAAACATCGGTGATCATGATAGAGCTGCATTATTGGTGCTCTCCTTGGGTAATTAAGAAAGATTATGGTTGAGAATAAGCTGCGAATTCTCCTTTTTCAGTTGGATTATGCTTGGCGAAAAAACAAACAAACAAACAAACAAAGGAAAAAAAACAAAACGATTTGGTTTCTCGTGTCTAAGCGTGCCGCATACGTTACTTTTCCTTTCGATTCCTAGTAACTTTCTAATTTCTGGGAAAGGCTCTTGGTTTCATATGTCAATCGAAACAAGCTTGTTCCAGGTCAGTGTAGGTTTAAATATTCCTGTGAACATATATATGGCTTACAAGACAAATGGCTGTCCAAAATGTTAGACATGACTCCCGTTAATGAAACTTAATAGCGAAAAGTCTCCAGTAAAGTCACTTCTGTTGTTGCATGATACTTGATCTGTTTTGCCGCGGAATTACAGTAGGTTGGTTAAGGCCCTGTTAGATGGAGAAGGGGGAGCCGAGACATCCCTTACGTTATAATTTCAAGTGCTTTACCCCAGACTTACTAAGACATTTCTGAAAGCTTATGTTTGAAAGAATCACTGATTGCTAAGAATTTAATAAGCTAACTCAATAACTTAGCGTTATTTATTCCAGTAACMTGACAAATATTTTATTTGCATGTCATTTCTTCTCCCTAAGACTAACTTGCCTTTTATTTCTTATCCCATAACACCTAACAATGTATGAGGTTTTGGTAGTGCGTTACGTTTGTTTGCCTTGTGATTCTCAGAATGAATGAATATTCATGTACCGGTATTGTTTTTATRGTTAACGTCGTCTATATGTCATATACCACACAGGAAGCCCAAAGCATAGTTTTATCATACAACGTCAAGGGCGGATCCAGCCAAAATTTTA